TCCAGCCTTAGGGCAATCAATGCAAACATAAATACAGTTATAATCATATTATTATAATCACTTCTGTACAGGAATATTGGGTATGTGTGCCAAATTTGGTCCAGTAAATGAAAATACATCCTGCATATCAGATATTTACATTATGAATTATAACAATAGCAAAATGACACTTATGAAATAGCAACGAAAATAATGTTATGGTTGGAGGTCACCACAACATATGGAACTGTATTAAGGGGTCGTGGCATTAGGAAAGTTGAGAAACACTGCATTAAAGGGATAGGAATACTAAAGCAACCCTAAGGAGGACATACCAGTAGCAGTGAAGGCAGAAACCACGGGTGGACAGTATCAGAGACCAAAGTAAATAATGTCACAATTTACCCCTTTTTCCCCAGCTCCAGCAGACCTCACCTCTGAGGATGCTTGCCATAGATGCAGGCGAAACGTCAGGAGAAATGCCTCTAGAACATGGCCATATAGCCCGAAAAAAACCCCCACAAGAACTGAGTGATTCCGGCCATGAAAGCCTTCGACAATACAATGTCACAATTATGCCTCTCTTCTTTCCTCCTTACCTGGGATGTAAGGAGGGCATATCGTCAGAGGTGCAGCCCTAGAAAATCTCTGGGCTTCAACAGGGCTCCCAATCTCTGACTGTGGAGCCAATCCTGATATATATGTTTTGGGCTACAGTTCTTAGAATCATCCAAGCATTTTGACACAATATTTTTTAACAATTTTGTGCATCAAACACACATACATATACACATACACACAGACTTTTTACTTCGGCAAGCATGTGTTACCTGTGGGTGTGTTGTGAGGAGCGACGATCCTGAGACATAGGAAACCTTCTCATAATGTGACTGAATGATCCAGTTGGAGCTGCCGAGGGCATATCCGGAACTGAGAGGAGAAACTTGCACGGCACCAAAAAGTTCCTGTAGGAAGGTGGAGAGAAAACAAAAGCGCCCAAACAATCTATGAATTAGAGGATTACAGAAAATAATACACCATGCACAATGCCTTAGCCAAATACTATTGCTCTTTTGGTTCAAGTCACTCCTTCATGTTCAGGGGCAGTACACCTGTAAATGGAAGTTGCTGAGTAGGGATGACTGGCTTGTGTTCAGATTATGAGAAATCCCGTATCATATATTAGTCAGATCAAATTTTAAGGTCTTTGAGAAGGGATTTCTCTTGCAGCACAGGAATGTCTAGTTGTGAGAACATTCTTCATAGCTGCCCTAGACCAGGCATGAGCACCAGGCATGATTGTTTTGGGCCAACTCCCACAATGCCTAACAGCTGGTAGGCTGTTAGGCATTGTGGGAGTTGAAGTCCAAAACACCTGGAGGGCCCAAGTTTATTTACAGCATTTATATACAGTATTTTATTTACAGCATTTATATACAGACAAGCATCCCGAGCTCTGAGAAAGAAAGCCCACTGGAGCATTGCAGCACACCCAAATACCTGGGAGTCACTCTGGACCGTGCTCTGATCTACAAGAAGCACTGCCTGAACATCAAGCAAAAAGTAGGTGCTAGGAACAATATCATACGAAAGCTGACGGGCACAACCTGGGGATCACAACCAGACACAGTGAAGACATCTGCCCTTGCGCTATGCTACTCTGCTGCTGAGTATGCATGCCCAGTGTGGAACACATCTCACCACACTAAAACAGTGGATGTGGCTCTTAATGAGACATGCCGCATTATCACAGGGTGTCTGCGCCCCACTCCACTGGAGAAATTACACTGTTTAGCCGGTATCTCATCACCTGACATCCGCCCGGGAAGTAGCAGCCAATAGTGAAAGGACCAAGGCAGAGACATCTCCAGCCCACCCCGTTTGGGTATCAACCAGCACGTCAACGACTTAAATCAAGACATAGTTTTCTTAGATCTACAGAGACACTCGCTGGAACACCCCAGCAAGCGAGAGTCCAAAAGTGGCAGGCCCAAACCTAGCACCTCAATCTATGGGTGATACCAGATGAGAGACTCCCCCCTGGGCACACAGAAGACTGGGCGACTTGGAAGGCACTGAACAGACTGCGCTCTGGCACCACGAGATGCAGAGCCAATCTTAAGAAATGGGGCCACAAAGTGGAATCCACGACATGCGAGTGCGGAGAAGAGCAAACCACTGACCACCTGCTGCAATGCAACCTGAGCCCTGCTATATGCACAATGGAGGACCTTCTTATAGTAACACCAGAGGCACTCCAAGTAGCCAGCTACTGGTCAAAGGACATTAAATCAACTACCAAGCTTGCAAATTCTGTGTTTTGTCTGTTTGTTTTTGTTAAAAATGTAATACAAATGTCTGGTTGCTGATGACACGATAAATAAAATATATATACAGCATTTATATACCACTTTTCTCACCCTGAGGGGGACTCAAGTTTGCCCATACCTGTCCTAGACAGAGGAATTCCCAGAGGAGGTCCAGCTCACCCCTTCCCTTCCCTTTTATTGCCAGCAGGCCATGTCCTTCTCATTTAGAGAGGCCTTTGGCTTTTATACACAGAATATTTGAAAGTGGTGTACCATGGTTATAAACTCTATTAACCATATGCAGTTTCAACAGAATTGAAACTGCAGAGTCCATGCAGTTTGACACCACATTATCTGCCACGTTTCAGTGCATCCTGGAAATTGTAGTTTGGCAAGGGACCAGCATTGTTTGGCAGAGAAGGCTAATAAAGCCCTTGCAAAATTTCAGCTCCCATGAGTTCATAGCATCGAAGCAGTTAAAGTGTTCTCAAGCTGCATTGATTATGCAGTCGTTTTGTTGTTCATTCGTTCAGTCGTTTCCGACTCTTCATGACCTCATGGACCAGTCCACGCCAGAGCTCCCAGTCGGTCGTCACTACCCCCAGCTCCTTCAAGGTCAGTCCAGTCACTTCAAGGATGCCATCCATCCATCTTGCCCTTGGTCGGCCCCTCTTCCTTTTTCCTTACATTTTCCCCAGCATCATTGTCTTCTCTAAGCTTTCCTTTCTCATCATGATGTGGCCAAAGTACTTCATCTTGGCCTCTACTATTCTTCCCTCCAATGAGCAGTCAGGCTTTATTTCCTGAAGTATGGACTGGTTGGATCTTCTCGCGGTTCAAGGCACTCTCAGAGCTTCCTTCCAACACCACAGTTCAATCTTCTTCCTTCGCTCAGCCTTCCCTAAGGTCCAGTTCTCACATCCGTAGGTGACTACGGGGAATACCATTGCTTTAACTATGCAGATCTTCATTGCCAGTGTGATGTCTCTAATCTTCACTATTTTATCGAGATTGGACATTGCTCTCCTCCCAAGAAGTAAGCCTCTCCTGATTTCCTGGCCACAGTCTGCATCTGCAGTAATCTTTGCACCTAGAAATACAAAGTCTGTCACAGTCTCCATGTTTTCTCCCTCTATTTTCCTGTTGTCAGTCATTCTTGTTGCCATAATCTTGTCTTTTTTATGTTTAACTGCAACCCAGCTTTTGCACTTTCTTCTTTCATCTTGATTAAAAGGCTCCTCAGCTCCTCCTTGCTTTCGGCCATCAGAATGATGTCATCTGAATATCTAAGTCATAGATATATGCAGTCGTAGATGAACCTTAACTATATATACTCGAGAGTAAGTATAGTAATCTTAATCAAAAAATGGACCCCAAAGCATAACTCTTATGAAAAAAAGGTAAGTACGGTTGAGGGAGAAGTAGTTTTAAAAGGGAATTTTCAGAGATGTTCCCAATGCCCATATATCTTGATTTACTGCCATATTGGCCTGTTTCTGCAGTGGGCCTTTGTTTACAGAAAATGCTGATGGTTTGAGGAAATGTTGCTGCAGAGAGGAAGGTACTTTTCAAGGATAACAGTAAGGTTAAGGTAAAGGTTTTCCCCTGACATTAAGTCCACTCAGGTTCAACTCTGGGGGTTGGTGCTCACCTCCATTTCTAAGCTAAAGAGCTGGCATTGTCTGTAGACATCTCCAAGGTCATGTGGTCGGCATGACTGCATGGAGCACCATTACTTTTCCGTAATGGCACCTATTGATCTACTCACATTTGCATGTTTTCAAACTGCTAGGTTGGTAGAAGCTGGGGCTAACAGCAGAAGCTCATGTCACTCCCCAAATTTGAAAAATCCTGCAACCTTTCAGTCAGCAAATCCTGCAACCTTTCAGTCAGCAAGTTTATTTATTTTATTTATTTATTTGCAGCTTTTATATTCCGCCCTTCTAACCCCACAGGGGACTCAGGGCGGATTACAGTGTACACATATATGGCAAACATTCAATGCCATTTTTTTTGACATATGAACATATACAGACATACACAGAGGCTATTTAACTTTTTTCTGGCTGCCAGGGGAGCTGTCGCTTTCATCGTCCATTTGCGAAGCTGATGAAGCACTTCCGCATTCCCCGCATGCTTCCCCGCTGAAATGCTTTGCTGGAGTCTTCTTTATAGCCTCATAAATCAGTTAATTTAGCCTCCCCACACTTTTTTTTAAGATGGTATCTAATTTTCCTACTTGACAGATGCAACTGTCTTTCGGGTTGCAAAGGTTGACAACAGGCTACACACAATTGGTTGGAAACCCACTCCAACCCAGGCTGGCTTCGTACTCATGACCTTTTGGTCAGAGTGATCTTAATGCAGCTGACACTCAGCCAGCTGCGCCACGATCAATAGCTCAGTGGTTTAACCCACTGTGCCACCGCCCCCCATCTCTCTCTCTATATATACTATATGTATTCTAAATATACTGTACATTAGATGCACCTTTATATATACATAGAGGAACCTTAACTATATATACTCAATAAGTCTAGAAATCTTAACCAAAAAGTAGACCCCAAAACATGTACTGTACCATAACTCTTATGAAAAAAGATGAGGACTATACTGTAACTCTTATCAAAGAAGGAACAATCCTACTTTGGATCCCATGCCAGAAGAAAGGTGGAATATAAATCAAAATAAGTAAAAATAATGCATAAACAAACAGCAGAAAAGGTCTGACATCATAATGCTTTGCTTGCAATTTTCCCAGAAATGTCTGCTTCGGTGACAACTGGTTATGAAACCATTTATTATTTCTGAACTACCATTTCCAGAATCCGTCTGTCGGCATAACCAACTTCTGGGAGCCTCCGTCCAAAAATAGTAGCCTTTCTAAGCTTTGGGCCAGACAGATCTTTGGCAGAGTCTTTAATGGTTATTCCTACATCCTCAACAAACAATAGTAAGAACTGCTTCCCCTTTCTGCAATTAACTCAGTGGCTTGTATTAACCATATTGACATCCTGTCTCTCAGTTTCAAATTTCCAAGGCAGCTTACAATGTAAATTACAGTAATGATGCTAAAACCGGTTTAAAAGAACAGCAATAACAGCATGAAATGCATACTACACAAATTATTATGCAAAATTGTGAAGAAGAATAGCAGCACAAATGCATAATCAAGGGGCACCTTACCTAAGACAACCCTATGGAAAAACCCAACCTGGACATTTTAGAAGTCTACTTCTAATTTTGAAAACCAGGTATACATTGAATATTCCTTATTTGAAATGTCTGGGAAATAGAAGTGTTTTTTCTATCTCAGGTTTTTATTTTTGGATTTTGGAATATGTGCAAATACATCGTGAGATATTTTGGAGATGGGACCCAAGACCAAACACAAAATTTATTTACATTTCATATATACCACATATACACAGCCTAAATGTAATATTATACACAATATTTTTAACAATTTTGTGCATCAAACAAAGTTTGTATGCATTAAACACTCAGGAAGCAAAGATGTCACTATCTCAACCACCCATGGTTGAGATAGTGACATCACCAATTTTGGATTTTGGAGTATAATGAAAGACATAAAGGCCATCACAGAACACTAGAGCCCACAACTGGATCTCTCTGTCTCAGAGTGTGGTGGAAGCTCCTTCCTTGGAAGCTTTTAAACAGAGGCTGGATGGCCATCTGTTGGGGGCACTTTGATTGTGCTTTTCTTACATGGCAGGGGGTTGGACTAGATGGTCCACGTGGTCTATGAACTGAGACAAGTTATTGATCTATTTCCAACATTGTTTCGTCTGGCTACAGATTCTGTACTTGACACTTTTATCCCTCTAATCCATTGTATATTCTATGATTCTATGAACTGGCATAAAAGTGGCTATAAAAAGGGGGGTATGTGAAAGGTTCCATCTTTCTCTCTCCTGCATGATTCAGTGTGAGTATCTGTCCATTCTGTATGTGACTCTCTGAGGGGCTGCATAAGAACAAGCCTGAAAGTGGATCTGCATATCCAGATTAAAGCTTCTGGATATTTAGTAAACTTACAAATCTGTAAGTTTACTAAACAGTGGGTAAACAAGATCAGATGCTTGTAGTTGGACTCTGCTGATAGACGGGCTGAAGTGTGTTTTAGCTGGGGAAAAACCCTTGCAATCCAGAGTGCGGTGGTTCAGGGAGTGTTGGAGTTCTGCCTGTGATTGTGTCTAATTATCAGGGTACTCTGGATGATGGGAGTGACAATGAGGTTCATGTGTCTAATGATGAAGTTGCTCTAGTTGCAGAGAATGACAATGTGGTTCATGTTCAAAGTGACTCTTCTGATGGGAATGTTCCTGAAGGGTTTGGGAATGATGGTCTGTTCCCTGGGCTTGGACTACTACCAGAGGATTCCCAAGGCCTTGAGCCTGAGAAAGGCTTGGTGCCTGGTTCAGCTTCAGAAATTAATGAGCTAGTGAACAGGATAAGTGTTTTCAGTCAGCAAAGAAAAACAAACCAGGCTCTCAGGTGCTCTGCCAGACTGCAACAGAGACTGATAGGAGATTCAAGGCTGAGAAGAAATCCATTCTTGGCCACTTGGGATATACAGTAGATTAGAGGGATAAAAGTGTCAAGTACAGAATCTGTAGCCAGACGAAGCAACGTTGGAAACAGGTCAAGAACTTGTCTCCGGTTCCTGGATGCCTTGCCTTGGATAGATTCCTGAATTAAGTGCCTTGTTATTCCATGGTGAAGTGCTTTGTTTGATTTATGCTCAAGTACTTTGGGGTTTGTGCCTTGGAAGTTCCAGTATTTGTTTTCATTGACTATTTTCCTGGATTATCTGTTCCTATCTACCTTTTCTACATATTTGGATTTACCCTTTACTGTGGATTGCTTTTTACTGCTACTGCTTTTAATTATCTTCAATAAACTGCTTGCATTTTACTCAGCTGTGTGGTGTTTGAAGTCAGAGGGTTTCCTGGCCTGGAGTGCAACAGTGAGGTCATGATTTAGAAACTATAAATTGTTTCAGGAACCCATTCCACATGGTGTAGGGATTGGGACTCTGCCCTAGGGCTTTAGGAAACCAGGGTCTGAACCCTCATTTTGAATCAGAGTCTGAACCCCCCCATCTACTGAATAGCCTTGGGCAATGTATCTTCAGCCTTAGAGGAAGGCAAGCCCAACCTCCCTAGAATAATAGAATCAAAGAGTTGGAAGAGACCTCATGGGCCATCCAGTCCAACCCCCTGCCAAGAAGCAGGAATATTGCATTCAAATTACCCCTGACAGATGGCCATCCAGCCTCTGTTTAAAAGCTTCCAAAGAAGGAGCCTCCACCACACTCCGGGGCAGAGAGTTCCACTGCTGAATGGCTCTCACAGTCAGGAAGTTCTTCCTCATGTTCAGATGGAATCTCCTCTCTTGTAGTTTGAAGCCATTGTTCCGCGTCCTAGTCTCCAGGGAAGCAGAAAACAAGCTTGCTCCCTCCTCCTCCCTGTGGCTTCCTCTCACATATTTATCCCTCTGAACAATCACACCAAGAAAACCCTGTGATAAGGTCACCACAAGTCAGAAACAACGTGAGGCAACACAGAAACAAACTTTGCCCCCACATCCCATCTCTCATTTTCTCCCAAAGTCCTTGTATTTGGAATACTCACTATTTTCTGGGAGTATCCAACCAGCTGGATTTTACTGAGTGCCGAGTTCACTTCCTGCATATTGTAGCATCTTCTCCAAGTTGCAACTTCCACGGCATCCTTCAAGGGGCTGGGCAGCAACCTGTGCAAGTCAAACAGAGATTGGGATCGTCAATACAATGGAAATCTGATGGAACTCAGCAGATCTATGAATGAAAGGTGATCAAGAGACTTGTACCTGAGACTTCCAGGGCACTGGATAGTGTTTAATTTTATTTATGCAGTTTTATGGTTTGTCTAACATTTTAATGAAGTGAAATTAGGTTTAATGTTCTAACTTCGTAAACTGTTTAATTGCTTTTAAATTAAGTTTTAGATTTATTCTTTCATCAATATTTTTGTATTGTTTTTAAATGATATTTAATTACAAGTTAATAGCATCAATCTACACCAGAACAATTTATAGACAGATTAAAGAAAAAGAAATACCATAGACACAATTACAATGAGAGAGAGAGCAAAGGAATGAAGGATTTACTACCAACTTTCCTACCAACCGTTATACAAAACATATACTATTACTTCCCTGCATATTTCTTATTTGTACTATTTAAATAATCCTAATTATCATCAAAACCAGTTGGTAATATTGTATCCGTACACACTTGCAAACAAAACCCCCCTCAATTAGATATTTGTATAGATTTTTTAAAATCTATATTGTTTTAGAACGTGGTTAGCCATCTTGCCTCCAATTAGTGGGAGAAAGGATGGATGCAATGAATAAAATAGTTATAATATCAATAATAACTTATTTATATCCAATTTTTCTGCCATACAGTAATTAGAGTTAGAGAAGTTATTTTATAATGTAAGAGATATAACCATAATTGGGAAAGTTGGAAGTCAAGTGAAAATATATTCTTTGTTCTTTGTCCTTCCTTCTTCGTGTTACTTTCCCTCTTTTTATTTTGTTTGTATATTTCTTCTCTTTTTACTGTATCAGAAAATATTGCATAAATCATACAGATTGAGCATCCCTCATCCAGAATTCCAAAATCCAAAATACATCTATGCAGTTAAGATATTGACTCCTTTGCTTTTACGTATAATATATAGTAGGATCCAGGAGCCCAAACACGAATCAAGAACATGAAAGGCACTGCAGGCTACTTCAACCAGAGAAATCAGCCATAGCAGAGCACCTGATGAACCAACCTGGACACAGCATATTATTTGAGAACACAGAAATGCTGGACCACTCTCACAACCACCATGTCAGACTACACAGAGAAGCCACTGAGATCCACAAGAAGCATGTGGACAATTTAAACAGAAAGGAGGAGACCATGAAAATGAACAAAATCTGGCTATCAGTATTAAAAAAACTCTAAAATTACAACAGCAAAAGAACAGAGAGGAAACAAACAAGGGCATCTAATCACCTCTCAACAAAAGATTGCTCTAGGCACTGTCAGGCCATTATATGGTTAGTTGAAACATTCACACCTAGCTCCAGCCGACAAGAGTCCTTTGTCTCACCCTGGTCATTCCACAGATATATAAACCCCTTTTTCCTAGTTCCAAAAGACCTCACTACCTCTAAGGATGCTTGCCATAGATGCAGGCGAAACGTCAGGAGAGAATGCATCTAGACCATGGCCATATAGCCCGAAAAAACCTACAAAACCCCACCGATCCTGACCAGGACTGGGCCCAGGATGGAACTCTGTTTATGACACTTCACTTGTCACTTCTTTCCAGGATGAAGAGGAAGCATTGGGGAGAATCACCCTCTGGGTTCGTTCACTTAACCCATTACAGATCCACCTAACCGTAGTTTTGCCTAGCACACATTTGACTAGTTTGTTTGCCAGGTCATGGGGGACCTAGTCAAAGTCCTTACTCAAATCTAGATACGCTCCATCCATGGCATTCCCCGTATCTACCCAGCTTAGAACTCTATCAAAAAAAGAGATGAGATGAGTCTGGCATGACTTGTTTTTGAGAAATCCATGTTGACTATCAGTATCAATCTTCATATTGATTGATGAATATCAAGATCATTAAGGAAGTGTCTGCAAACACTTGATATTGATACCTAATATGGAATATATGGAACATAAATGAATTCTGTGTTGAGACTTGGATCCCATCTCCCAAGGTATTTCATTATATGAGGGTTGAATGAAAAGCAATGCCTCCACCTTCCTAACTCCTCAACAGATGGCAGTATTTATTTATTTATTTATTTATTTATTTACTCCATTTGTATACCGCATTTATCAGCCTGAGGCGGCGACTCAATGCGGTTTACAATAAATAAGCAACACTGACAATATATAAGACATACATACACAACAACACACATATAATCATCAACGCCTCAATTAGAGTCAGATCCCGTTCTCATAGTCCTTTTTCATTCCTTGTTCAATGCCGTTTTACTGAGTTAGTTGTCATTGCGTATTCATCCAAATGCCTGCTCGTAGAGCCACGTCTTAACCCTCCTCCGAAATACCAGCAACGAAGGAGCCTGCCTGATGTCCACTGGTAGGGCATTCCATAGCCGAGGGGCCACCAGTACTGGTATTCGGTACGTACTGGCTTGTTCAGTACTCTCCTCTACAGTTCCATTTTGGCGGGAAGCCTTAGCATTGAACAGTTGTGTTGTTAAAGTGCAAAGTATGGAATCCTCCTCAGACCATTGGTCAGTGTGACTTAAGTAACGTGCAGTCATTGAATTCTTGACAGCAGAAGGTGTCACCCCAAAGGAGATTCATCAGAGAATGCAAGCTGTTTATGGCGATTGTGTTGATGTGAGTACTGTGCATCGTTGGGCAAGTAAGTGTAAAGATGGTTTTTTTAATTAAATTTTTATTGGTTTTACATTAATACTGAACATGAAACAAAGTGCATGTGGAAACATGGGGGTAAAGATGTTGAGGTGGAACATCTGACTTGCGTGACAAAAAAAGGTTGGACGTCCTGTGACAGCAACCACCGAGTTTCACAAGCAAAAGGTTGATAGATTGATTCAGGACGATCGTCGTATCACTCAGAGAGAATTTTCAAGCATAATTGGCATTTCACAAGAACGTGTGGGTCACATTATTGCTTTGCTTGGCTATCGGAAGATCTGTGCACAATGGGTTGCGGAAACAGAGTGTCGACTTCTTCTGTGACGGCTTCAAAAACTTGTTCATTGTTGGCAGAAATGTATCCAATTGTCTGGTGATCATGTCGAAAAGTGAATAGTGGTACATTCTAAGGATTATTTCTGCGTTTGATTTATTAAAATAAAATAAAATAAAATCCAAACCCAAGTAACGAAGATGGAGGCATTACTTTTCATTCAACCCTCGTCTAAGCAAGTAAACCTGTATTATTAAAAAAAAAAACCCTTTTATCTCATATAATAATTATATTATAACTTTTTGGATGTATTGCCAAAGTAGCACAAGTGCAGAAGTGTAATTTGGGGCAACTTCAATACCAGCATGAAAATATTTTAATATTTGAGCTCCTTGGGAAAACTATTGGTTTAGCATGGGGGAGGGGGTATTATTTGCATGAAGGAAGCTAGGAAATGGCAAGTGAATGGCAGTGTCACAGTCCATAAAATAGATGGCCCTATCCTGGGACATAAATCACCTCCAGTAGTAGGAACCCAGGCAGGAAGGCAGTGAGAGCTGCCAAAGACTGGAAGAGGAATAGGATTCTTATTTTGTATATTAAATAGATGTTAAATCAAAAGCTCATTCCAACCCATTTCCAATGATTTATGGAAATCGGTCAAGTTTTGCTGATCCGTTTGTTTAAAAGTACCTAATTTATTGGTGAATCTGTTGGGTCCGTGACCCTCTTCTCCATAATTTAAGGGACTGAGGAAAGCATTAAGGATTGCTTCTGCCAAGAGCGTCATGTATGCCTACAGCATGAAACCACCATCGCTATACAGACACAGAGATGGAAAGTAAGTGGTCCAGCATTGCAAAATGGTGTAAAATGCAAGGGAAGAACACAGACCAGACCTCAAAGATGAAAACAACACCTAATGTTGTTACACCCATTTTCTATGGATATTGATCCAAACACTTGCCTACCTGTGCTCCTACGCTTCGACATTTCCTAACTAAAGACGGCAAGATGGCTTTTTCCATGTTGTCTTTCTATTAGCAAATCTAAACTTTCCTTGAGCTCCCGGTGGCACAGTGCATTAAACTGCTGAGCTGCTAAACTTGTTGACCAAAAGGTCACAGGTTCGAATCTGGGGACAGCATGAGTTTATTTATTTATTTTGCAGAAGCATACGAGAAGCTCGGCCTGTCATTGAACATTGACAAAACCAAGGTGCTGTTCCAGCAGACACCAGCCAACCCCTCTCCAATGCCAGAGATACAGCTTAATGGTGTAACATTAGAAAATGTTGATCATTTCCGCTACCTTCGCAGCCACCTCTCCACCAAAGCCAATATCGACACCGAAATACAACACCGCCTGAGCTCTGCGAGCGCAGCATTTTTCCGAATGAAGCAGAGAGTGTTTGAGGACCGGGACATTCGTAGGGATACCAAGGTGCTTGTCTATAAAGCTATTGTCCTCCCAACCCTGCTCTATGCCTGTGAGACGTGGACTGTCTACAGACGTCACATGCAACTCCTGGAACGATTCCATCAGCGCTGCCTCCGGAAAATCCTGCAAATCTCTTGGGAAGACAGGCGGACAAACATCAGTGTGCTGGAAGAAGCAAAGACCACCAGCATTGAAGCAATGGTCCTCCGCCACCAACTCTGCTGGACCGGCCACGTTGTCCGGATGCCCAACCACCGTCTCCCAAAGCAGTTGCTCTTCTCTGAACTCAAGAACGGAGAACGAAATGTTGGTGGACAGGAAAAGAGATTTAAAGATGGGCTCAAAGCCGACCTTTAAAACTCTGGCATAGACACTGAGAACTGGGAAGCCCTGGCCCTTGACCGCTCCAGCTGGAGGTCAGCTGTGACCAGCAGTGCTGCAGAATTTGAGGAGGCACGAATGGAGGGCGAAAGGGAGAAGCGTGCCAAGAGGAAGGCGCGTCAAGCCAACCCCAGCCAAGATCGCCTTCCACCTGGAAACCAATGCCCTCACTGCGGGAGAAGATGA